CCCCTCCCTCCCTCTCCCTCCCTCCCTCTCCCTCCCTCCCTCCCTCTCCATCCCTCTCCCTCCCTCTCCCTCCCTCCTTCCCTCCCTTCGCCTCCAAAATTTAAGTTCCCATATATACTTCGACAGTTCAGTTTCTTTCTCATTCCGAATAAGATTAAAAGATTCTTATGTTTGCGGTATCTTTCTTTAAATGAATTTGCTGTCAAGCCTATGAAAATTTCCAGCGGAATTTATTTGCGGTATCTTTCTTTAAATAAATTTGCTGTCGCATAGGCATGACAGCAAATTCATTTAAAGAAAGATACCGCAACCATAAGAAATATTTTAATCTTATTCGGTATGTGAAAGAAACCGAACTGTCGAAGTATATATGGGAACTTAAATTTAAAGAGAAGGCTTTTGCCATCAATTGGTCTACAGGGTGTATCAAAATAAACGCAATTCATCTTTTGTGCTTAATAACTTTCGAAATACTATTTCTAGTTAAACGCTTTTAGGCTTACTTCAAAGCCTGTTCTTTTCTCTTTCAAACAAACTATTATCCTTGTCTCGAATGCTAGTAATAATTGCACAGGAAAAGATTTAGTAAAACCTTATAAGTTTATTGTGTTTAATTCTGAAGTTTACTATGCTATTGTTTATCATTTAAATGTTAGAATTTTCTTCTTTAAACTTTAATATTGTCGACACTATCTGAAACCATAAGAACAAATTAAAAGTATTTTAAAGAGACCGGGTTGTTTGAAAATCCTAAACGAATACTAAAAATCGTCAAAACATTCTGGTGTCTGACAGAGTGTCATCAAATACGTGTAATGTAAACAGAAATTATAGCAAGTTGATGTCAGTCAGCTTAGATGGTCCAAGCCAAAATTATATCGCGTTTGAAGTTTCAAACTGAGTTAAAAATAGTGGAAGAAAAGCCGTAATTATACTTATTGTTACAATCCATTTAATAAAATGCAATATTTTTTTGTTTTAATGAAAAAATCAGTTATTTTCAGCAGTTTAGCACAGTCAACAGGCTGCTCTGCTTGCGTTCCACGCGTGGCCTTAGAACCGGTTAATTATTGCATACTTTGTTCAGGACAATTATTTTTCCAGGTGGAATATCTGCCATACACCTCTATAAATTGGAATAAAATTAAAAGATGGAAATAAAAATATCAATGGAAAAGTTAGCACAAATTAAAACCGTATAGGAAACCAGAGCGCGTATAATGATTGGATAAAATTCAGTATTTTCTTTAAAGCTTTGCATGGCGTTCATTGAGTAAAAATAAGGAACAATTTGTGGTTAAATGTATTATTAATTTAATTATGAGCTTTCGGACCGTGTATTTGTTTTGGATAAAATTAGCGCGCTAATTAATGTAATTTTCAATCTCAATCGACAATATTTCATAAAAACACGGCCAAACCGGCCGTGTGTTGATGGTCATGTGTTGATGCGGAAATCTCAATTTCTGTTTATAAATATCGCGGAGGAACAATAGCTGAATAATTCTGTCTGGCATCTATTTTAAGAATTTTATTATGAGTTGAGAATGTTTATTATGTTTCCAGATGTGCCATGGCCAGTCTCCTCCTGGTTAGGTCTAAAATTGTATATATAATTCAACTGATAGTTCTATCGATGCCAAAAAAATTTTTTCCTGATTCTTGGGCACTTCGCTCGATAGAAGTAACAGTTTAATTTAAGAGTTTTTGCTGATGGGAATTTCGAGCGGAGGATTATATACAAGCAATTCAAAAAAGTTTGTCCTTTGCAAACCTTGAATTGTTGAGGTTATCCTGCTGCAAACCCTGTTGAAATAGCTACATTCTTCAATACCTACTTCGCATCCGTGTTTTCATCTGAAAACCTCCCTGACGAACTTCCTACCGAAACCAGTGGTCCTCCAGTTTTAACTGAACTTACTCTGACTGAACCCGAAGTGGAGACTATACTTAATTCCCTCGATACCAACAAAGCCACCGGACCGGATGAAATTCCAGCCAGACTCCTCAAAAATACAGCTGCTATAGTTGCTCCCTCTCTATGTAAGCTATTCAACAAATCCCTACAACATGGAATAGTACCTCGTGACTGGAAACTAGCAAACGTCGTCCCTGTGTATAAGAAAAATAACAGAGAGCATGCGGAGAATTATAGACCAATCTCTCTTCTACCCATCGTTTCTAAAGTTTTAGAACGTTGTATTTTTATAAACGTCAAGCAATTTCTGTCCCAACTCGTTAACGATTGCCAGCACGGTTTTCTTCAAGGTAAATCGTGCGCATGACTAACTAGTTGGAAGTGCTGGATTACATCGGTACGTGTCTAGATAACGGCGGGCAAGTAGATATGTTGTACCTTGATATGTCGAAAGCTTTTGACCGAATCAATCACAAAAGATTGATACGCAAGCTATCCAATTCTGGTATCGGCGGTAATCTACTGAATTGGTTCGAGTCATATTTGACAGATCGTCGTCAACGCGTGACTGTACTCGGCGTAACCTCAAGCACCCTTCCTGTGACCTCAGGCGTTCCACAAGGGTCAATTCTTGGTCCTGCACTCTTCCTGTTATATGTGAATGATCTACCCGAAGCAGACTTGTACTCTCGAGTTGCAATGTTTGCCGATGACACTAAGCTATTCTCGGCAATTACATCTGAGGACGATCTAGCATCTCTCCAAGCTGATCTTGTGAACTTAGAACATTGGTCATCTCAGTCAGGCTTGTCCTTCAACAAATCCAAATATCAGACAATCACGCGTAAGATTGTGCCATTTACGTCATCATATAAGCTAAAAGACACCAAAGTAACTACCACCGACTGCGAAAGAGACCTTGGCGTATGGGTGTCTTCCAATCTTACGTGGAAAAAACAAGTGTGCAACCAGACGTCAAAAGCGAACAAGTCCCTTGGCTACATCAAAAGAAACACCAGATTCGTGAAAAGTACTGAAGCAAGACGGATGTTCTACCTGGCCCTAGTTCTGTCACATTTTGGTTATGCAACACAAATTTGGGCACCACAATCAATAGAACTTATCAACCATCTTGAACGAACCCAACGACGTGCTACCAAATATATTCTAAATGTACCGTTCTCCTCGGATATAGACTATAAATCAAGACTGCAGTCGTTGCATCTCCTCCCAATATGCTACTGGCACGAATACCTTGATTTGATTCTATTCTTTAAGATCACACATGGTTTAGTGAAAACAAGCGCCTCTCCAGTTATTCAGAATTCTCGCAGAACCACTCGCTCAAATTCAAGCAACACAGTCAAGTATGTCATCCCCAGATGTAAAACAACCAGCTACCAGAAATCCTTCCTCGTTAGAACTTCCAGAATATGGAACACACTAATAGACGCAATAGACCTTCATACGGACAGTCTCGCTGTATTTAAATCATGTTTACTCAATTATTATTTTACCTCTGTTGACATTACTTATAATCCTGAAAATCCGCGAACATTTAGATCTTTATGCTTGAAATGCAACTGTGTTCGTAGTTTAGCGTCTCCAATATCTTGCTGTTATTGAAAATTTCAGCACAGCTAGCTACATGGCAACTGCTCGTGCTATGCTTATATAGTCGGTAGCATGCATTGATTATTGTTCAATTTCTTTTCAGCTAGTGCATGTTATTATCATAGCATGATCAGTTGCCGTAGCTAGCTAAATATATAGTTGTATAAATGCATGAAGTTAGTTGTTAGTTTTTTTGCTATTTGATGTTAACGTATTGTCCTTGGGTTCGCAGTAATTGGCTAATCGCTGTTGCGAATACCCTGCCATATAGTCTAGTTAATTCGTTAAATTATTACTTTGTAATAACTGTTAATACTATCTGGCAAAGTTAATAAATTAATTCTAAACCTTGAACCTTAAACTCTAAGCGCGCAAAGATTATTGGGATCACAAGTTTCAAGCTTAGTAGTTGACTATTACAGCTATTTGTGAATGAATTGTTCTCGTAAGGAGATATTTACCATGTTTCTAAGAAACTGATTAAATGATGCTCCCATGCATTATATGCTTTGCACGCTTAGAGTTTAAGCTTTAAGGTTCAGAGTTTAAGGTTTGCACAGGACAGCCTTTTTAGGCCATACAATGACCTAACAGAATCAGTTTATAAAGGCACAAATGTTGGTGGAAAATGTTGGCCAATAAACTGGCTTATATAAACCTCACCAGGACTACGGTTAAATTAACCAAAAATACATCCATCTTATTGGCAGATGAAGTCATCCCTTGGGCGTATAACTAAAGCCACATTCTAACTTTAGATCACCCCTGCCATGAAGAAACTAGACTGGAGTGTCGAAACGTTCGGTCTTGATTAAAATGTCTAAAATTCGATTGGGCTTTGTGCCTTTGTATATTTATTTATATAAACCAGAGTAGCGAGCGAAGACATGTCTGATATATCGTGAACGAACAAACTTTAAGCAGGAAATTTAACCCAAACAGTGTTAATTTTTAAACTAACCATGCAAGCGATTTTCAACTACGGTGTTTAATAGTTTAGAGTGTAAATTGACAGCGTTCACATCCAGAGTTCACAGGCAAAGCATGCTCGCCGGCGACTCTAGTGTTGAGACCAACTTCAATTTGTCAAAACAGGATGTAAGTTTTATTGTTATATTTCGTTCCTATATTACGGAATGAATTACAATGAGATCGAAATATCACAATTGAATTAATTTAATCAATTAATCAGCGGATGAGAAGTTCTCAAAGGAAGCCTGTTTGTTTCTGCGGTTTTAAGAGTTAGCTAGGTGCCCTTATCTGCTGCAATTTTTAACGGAAATACAACAATTTGAAGTCCCTAGTTTGAGTGGTGTGAAATCGTGCATGTACAGTATTCAGCCATTGATCTAATCTCATTCATTAAGACCGGAATTGCGAACTTTTTTACAATTCTAACTTTAACTCCAAAGTGTTAGCTTTACTGATATACATCTAAACCCCGTGCCAAGTAGCAGGTTTTCTAACTTTGACAAGTTTTGCTGGACACCTTGCATGTGTACCGCACAAATTATCAAGTTTTTTCGTTTGCAAGGAGCCTTGTTGAAAAGCTTGACATGCAAGCTTTTCAACAAGGAGAACTGTTCCCTTTACCGCCGGGTCAAAGAAAACTCGACATTGTCATTAAATCTCGTATATATTGAAATTCGCTTTTGTAGTGTGCTATACCGTAGACAGTTTCAGCTGTTTTCAGTTTCTTCGAAGCTTTGAACGAAAATAATCATAAATTTTTTGCGTGCTTAAAATAGCGGGGGCTCGTAAATTTGTCCAAGAAACATTGTTTGTCGTTCACACGAGCAAGCGGAAACTTGTCAAAAAACTTGTCAAGGGAATCTCGCTCATCTGTACGGGGTCTGAATCTTCATCTTCACATGTGACTCAAGATCTTATCCACAATTTTATTTTCGTTTCTAGAACGAACGGTGAACCAACAAAACTTTGATGAAAATGGATATGGAAATTACGTCAGGTGGGACAACGAGTACAGTCGAGCGTCAAAAAATGACCCCAGATCTAAGAGAGCGGCGCTTATCATTTAGAATACACAAAGTCTGCCACGCGCAAAATGGTCAACTACATTACGAGTTATCTGGAGAGTTTCCGAATCCATTACGTAATCACCCGAACTGATGACCGATTACATGTCGATCTAAAATATGAAATGACTAAAGATGCGAGCAAGGCGAAATATTATTTGATTATTTTCTACGAGTTTCAGACATTTTTAACGCTTAGTCGTTTAGCCAGAGACGTCATAGACGATTATTGCGCGAAGTTTAAAGCGGGACAAATTTTCTTCGCCGGAAATAATTACGGGAAAATTTCAGAATTTAATTTGGAGGTAAAACAAGTGGAAAACAACAAAGCTCAAAGTTTGCGAGTCAATCCTGACTCGAACACTTTATGGATTACAAAACCAGGTGTCGAGACCGCGAAGCCGTCTAGGACACGTTTGACGTACGTTCGGGTTTTCCCGTTCGATGATCGGTACGAGAAGGTAGTCTATCTCGTCCCTACGCGTGGCGCGGAAGAAACGCGGGCCAATGTGCAAGGCGGGAATACGAAAGTCGCAATGCTATTGGACAACGGGAGAAAGGCGGGAATCAAAAGAATTTTTACGACACTCAATTCAGCGTTCTTTCTACATGGCTTGCTTTTCTTGGACGCTTTGAAGTATGTGTCTGTTCTGCCACCCAAATATACGTTACAGAGATATATTCAAGTCGACATTGATGATATCTTTATTGGAAAAAGTGGACTAAGGCTGAAAAAGACTGATGTGAAGGTGACGAATTCTTTGGTATTTTTCCGAAACACGATGTTATTGTGGCATCATCTTAGTATATATACATGAACTTGCGGTTTAGAGTTCGACAGCTGGGCTCTGTAGCTCATGCAGTCAGTTAGAGCGCTGCGTCGGAATCGATTCCTACCAGAGGGCCTATAGTTGCATTTTTGGCAACTGCTCCTGGTTTGGTGTAATAAAAGTATAAAATTTACACTCGAAGTTTCCATCTACAAAACTCTTCAACTACTGGTAGTGTATTTAAATAGTACAACTGTTTCCTGTTCTTCCTAACTTCCGAAGTAATGTTCATGCCCATGCCATGAACTTGGGCGTTCTCCTAGCTTCATAATGAATTGCTCATACAATATCTATGTTAAAGTCAGATCAAATGCGGACTGTATGAAAATATCACGCAATGTTTTCGTTTATCGCGAAAAGTTTTACTGCGGGACATGACATTTTAAAGGGGAACTCCAGTCCAAATACAAGTGTGGTTTATATGAAAGATCTTCCCCTTATTAGAACGTTCCTCAAGTATTTCGGTCGGAGAAGAGATAAGGAGAAATTGCTTGTCAAAGTTTGCGATTTTGTCAAATTTGGGCGCCATGTTGTTCTTTTCACTGCAGACTCGGATTTGTCCAGCGCCTTCATTTTTGACGTCATTGCGTGCTTCGAAGGTGTTGTTCATATAGAAAACTATGGCTTTGTATGGCGATTTAATAAGAATATCATTATTTCTCTGCTTCTAATTCTTTAATTAACGTGAGTTTAGACCGATTTAACAGAGATATTTTACAGATCGGACGGAGATATTTTACATTACCGAGCTTCTGACTGAGGTGAATCAAGAGTTGCCAGGTCATGTTCATGCTGGTGTACGGAAGGCTTGCGCAGAATTAAATAATTATATGTTGCGGATTCAATTTACATGAATATCGATGCTGCGTTTGCGTTCAGCAGCGATTTATCGGTTTATGCGACTTCTGTTTGCTCATGTATGCGAGCAATAAGATTAATTGCGGTATCGGGTATTTCACTGAAAGTCACAGATATAGTCGTGGCCATGGAGTTATATATCAATTTTAATCGAAGAGAGGTGAGAGAGAAGAGAGTCGTCACTCGTATGAATGCATGCATGGGTATCTTTTACTGTTAACATGTCTTTAATCATTTGTTTAAGTTTGCGAATTGAATCACCCCGTCCTTGATATTTTAGGGCTTGAAGCAGACTGCTACAAGCAGTTTCAGTCGCTGAAAACATTTTGTTATTTATTGTGCAATTACTGTATTAAATAGACGTCTTACTTTTAGCGATTCTTTGACTTGCGAGTTTGCGTCAAGCCATTTGCATATATGAAATGAATTTAGACATCAATGATATAAAATAATGTTACCTAGATAATTCTGAGGGCAGACTACATGCTGCAGGGCTACTATCATATGTCGCATGACAAGCTGTTTATAGAAATATATTTGTCTGTTGGCTGTAACCTGAAGTTCAGGTAATGCTATTTAAATAAGGTACGATAAGATTTTTTTTAAAAAGACAATCTTTACAAAAGAATTGTTTTATAACAGACCTCATTAAACTATTCATGAGGTATTTAACTAGATATATACCTCATGAATAGTTTAATGAGGTATTTATCTAGATAAATACCTCACTAAAACTATACTCATGATGTACTTATCTGGGTAAGTACCTAATGAGAGGTCAGTCTCTTTCCCAACTCGATAAACGCTGTACCGTCTCCAGTCGGGAAAGAGACAACAGCCGTGTACCTCAGAGCCCGTCAAAACTCTACCATTAGGTAAGAGTATGTATCATTCGGCGCACGAGAACTAGCTGGATCAACCATCAAACTTGCTTGTGCAGGGAATTTATACAGTAACATCTGCTCTTTCGCTTGTGGGACGTGAAATGATATACTGCGCATGCTTGACCACATTTTAAAGCGTATATAGTGCGCATACTCAGCCTTGTGTTACGTCCCACAAGCGTAAGAGCTGTTTTGTGAATAAACCTCCAGATCATGAAATAAGTTAGTTAAATACCTCGGGCGTCGGTATTTAGTCATATACATCCCCCGGGCCTACGGCCCTCGGGATGTATATGACTAAATACCTCCGCCCTTGGTGTTTAACTCTAACTTAAACTTCATTACTTTCATTATTATATGGCAAGCATCACTTCCAGTGAAATGGCGGACTGCGAT